GCCACCGGTCAGTGATGGAGCGCTCTCGCACCAGATGTGTGGGATGCGATACATGTTAAGGGGTTCCTGATCTTAGTTGAGGACAAGTGCGCAGCTCTGCAATGTTGGCCCAAAGTGCAATGTCTCAAATGTGAGGCTACCATATGTGTGGTAGTGCAGGATCATTTGTTAAATTGCTTTCATGTGTGTGCGATGCGGATGTTTACTACATTGTATAATGGAGTGCTCCACCACTGTATTGTATGGTATGCGGCGCGCTGGTACAGGTTGGCTTGTGCTGTCTGCTATTCACGATTGATTGCCCTTCTTATTTCCGGCCGGCGCTATTGAGGTCCCCCTCTAAGCTCCCCCTCCTTCTGCCCCCCCCCCCCCCCCCCGTCCGCTTACGCCCACTGCTGTTGCGCGGCTACTGTGGTTCTGCAGCGTGCTCGGTCGTGACGACTGTCCCGCGCGCAGGCGGCGACATCGGCTCCCACCTGCAGAATCTGGCCGAGCGCCGTACCGACATCTTCGGCGCCGGCGACGAGGAGACCATCATCGGCAAGAAGATCGGCGAAGAGGAGAAGCGCGCCGACGACAAGGTGAGGCGCCAGGCCCGGGCGGGGCAGAACAAGCGTGGAGTCAGAGGGGTCGGGGTGGGGGTAGGGATCAGAGTCAGATGGGGTAACTGTGGATCACTTGGACTTGCTTGGAACAAGTTGCTCTGGTCACTGCAGTGTGCAAAGTGGATTCTTCTTGCTTTGATGCGGTGCTGGTTGCTTGATTTTGTGCACACTATGTACATGTAAACAATATGGTATGGTCACATAGTGTTCCATAGGCATGTGGAGCAAGTGGAACTGTCCAGACAGGGCCATTGTCATGCTCATGCTTCGCCCTCTGCCCTTCAATTATGATGCTGTTTCAATATAGCCCAGGAACTAGAGCCCCCTAATCAGCAACGTAAGTGATGTCACGGATGTGTCGCCCGTCGTGGTTCTTGCACTGCGTTCAACGCTGGCCACTTGTCCTTGGTGTTGTATGATGCTAGAAAGCGGCGCCCCATAAAAATGCTTTCAAAATGAGCTGCCTACCTGTTCGGTGCGCACGCGACGAGAGTGGCACGCGGACTGACTCGGTCCGCCTTCGGCAGAGTATCTGGGACGGCCACACAGCCAGCGTGGAGGCGGCCACGCGCGCCGCCCGCGCCAGCGTCACCATCGACGACCAGATCAGCCACATCCACAAGTCGAAGGGTCTGCTGGAGGACAACGAGCGGGAGCGGATCGGTCCCAAGAAGGGCCGCGACCGACGCGACCGGCGCGACCGGGACCGCGAGCGTGACCGCGACAGGGAGGAGCGCGAGAGGGAGAGAGACCGGGAGCGCGAGAGAGAGCGGGAGAGAGAGCGGGAGGAGCGTGAACGTCCACCGCAGCCGCCGCCGCCGCCGCCGCTGTCGAAGTCGATGGCGCCGCTGCCGCCGGCGCCGGCACCGGCACCGCCGCCACCTCCTCCACCTCCGCCTCCTCCTCCACCGCCGCCGCGCTCCGTGCCGCAGCCGCCGCAGCCGCCGCGGCTGGCGCCGGCGCCGCAGCCGCTGCTGCTGCGGCCTCCGCTGATGGCGCCGCAGGGCGTTATGATGGCACCGCGGCCGCCTGTCGTCCGTAAGTGACACCGCTGGCCGGGGCCTGACATTGACCTGGCCCGGCGAGTTTGCCGAACAAGTAAGGTGGACGTTAGGGGGTCTCCGTGGGGCGGCGATGTTCGACTATTCTTAACCTATGTTTTTGACCGAAATAGCGTATTTATTATGCCATTATTGCCTGGTGTTCCGTAGCCGTTGTGCTCCACTGCCCGGGTTCAGTGTCCCACAGACCGACATACTTGTGGTATCACTGCATGAGGCAGGCCATGATGGTTGTGACTTATCATTTACGTTGCATCTGTAAGGATATCACCGACAATGATTTCTCGGGCCGCTTTCCCTTCATAGGCTCACTTTTGTTCTGTGGTTATGCTGATTATTCGTCCCCATTTTCCCACGCGCTGATGGCGTCGCCTTGGCCTAACATGTCGGGTCGCCCTTGTGCCGGCGGCGGCCCTGAGCCAGCCGCCTCTGGTCTGTTGCAGTGCCGCCGCGCCCCATGTTCGCCATGCAGGCCGTGCCGGCCGGCTTCATGCCGCAGATGCAGCCGGCGCCTGGACCGCCGATGCAGGTGGTGAGTGGAGCGCGCCGCGCCGGATCACGTCCGACCGCGTGACGCGCGACCCGGCGGCTCGTGCTGCCAGAGTCACGGTGCGGCTGGAGCGACGGGATCTGACCCGTCTCTGGCCTGGCTTGGGTTTATTGGCTAGTGACGTTTTATGCCAGGCTCCTGTGTTATGTTCTGTGCATAAATGTAGGCATTGTTTTTACAAGGCTGTTGGTTACTTAAGTGCCCGCAGGCAAGATGGGATGGTTTACTCCGTGCGTGAGGATTTTATGAGCGTGGGTTGTGACGGTGTGCTGGTCGCGTGTGCCAGATGTCTGCGCCGGAGCCCATGATGCTCAGCAACGAGGACGAGCCACCCAACAAGAAGCAGCGCACCGAGGACAGCCTCGTACCCGAAAGCCACTGGCTGGCCCGCCACCCCACGGTACGTGCCTCTCGGCTGTTTGTGACCGCGTATTCGCCGAGTCAGCACGAAGGCACACTCGACTGCCTGCCGCTCTGCGCCGGACCGTCCCCTGTGCTGAGCAGTGCTGACGGCACTGCTGTCGTCACGGATGAGCCGGTGTGAGAGTGGTGCGGTGGTGGTCCCACAGGCGGGGCTGCCGTTACCGCTCGCTGGCTACTGGCGGTGTGCACTGTGTGGCCTGTGTTGCTACAGCTACGGAAACTGCCAGTGTGCTTCACATTCTTTTGCCCAATCTTGTTCGACGAACAAAAGGTGAACTGACCGTCTCTCAGGTGACGTTCCGCATGTCTGACCGCTGCCCCCCGTGTTGACCTGACCCCCTGCCCGGATGACCGCAGGGCCAGGTGACGTTCCGCATGTCTGACCACTGCCCCCCATGTTGACCTGATCCCCTGCCCGGATGACCGCAGGGCCAGGTGACGTTCCGCGTGTCGGTGCCGGTGGTGGCGGACAAGCCGGAGTGGCGGCTGAGCGGCCAGAGCCTCTCGCTCACCATGCCGCTCACCGACATGGTCTCCGTGGTGAAGGCCCGCCTGCACGACGAGACCGGACTGCCGCCCGGCAAACAGAAGCTGCTCGGAGAGGTGAGACGCCCCGGCCGGTCGGCGTGTGTCGTCTGCCGCCTGTCCGGCCCCTGTGGCGGACCACTGCAGGGGACGGACGGACCGAGGCGCGCCCGTCCGTACTAACCGCCGGTCACCCCTGACGGCCTGATTGGTCTGGGCCGAAGCTCCGAGTTGTTGTGCAAAGGTCGCCTGTTTGCTTTTCATAGACATGGTTCTGTTAGCTGGCCACAGCTTGGGATCATTTGTGTTGTTTAAAATATCTGAAAAGTGAGGTTTTTAAATCAGGGTGTCGTCGTCGTCATGTTATACCGAAGTGGGATATGTTATATGTCGTCATGTTATACCGAAGTGGGATAAGTGCAAAGAATGAAGGGTTGTTAGCCCATGCTAGTAGCGTCGTTCATAACTTGTGCACTGGCTTCGATTCTTTTTGACATCGTACCTTACGTCGATAAAGAAGAGTCTCTGTGGCTGGGTGGATATCAGCAAAGACTATCAGAGTTATCATTGTGGCTGCATTTTAAAATGTACCACTACATGAAGTTTGTTTGCTTTTAGGGCATTTTCTTCAAGGACTCCAATACGCTGGCATATTACAATGTGGCCAATGGCAGCACCATCAACCTGCAGCTGAAGGAGAGAGGCGGTCGGAAGAAGTGATCGTGCAGTCAGCTGTGTCCGGTCAAAGAGGTTCATTCGCGGCCTGAGAATAGCAGTTAACTGCGAGCTGATTTTCGTCGTCATACACAACATCCCACTTTGTGTCGTTCTGTGGCCAGAGCCCGCCAGGCGACCATCATCTCAGATGTGTGCGACCTGCGGACAGAACTTGAGCAGCCCGTACTCTGTACCGAGGTTCGAATACACGGCTGAAGTATGTGTGTTTTTTAAGTGCTGGTTATGGGCTCATGGTAGCTGGAGACTGCAGGCCGAAAAAAGGTAACTGGACTGCTTGAGCCATCCAGCTCGTGGGGACCAGACTGAAGCCATTGTAAAAACCACCGAAATGCTCCCGAAGCGCATCTCTTCATTTACCAGGGTGATGATAGGGTCCGAGGTTGAAGTCGTCCAGCCTGAAGGTGAGACCAGGCAGAGGGCAAACTCGGTCAAGCTATGCCAAACCTGGATGAAAAGTACCAGGCAGGGTCTGATAGAGTACTGCCTTTCAACTGTCTGGCTGGAATGGCATATGGCCAGTTGACGCGTAAGATCGGTGATATCATAGTGGAGCAAACTGTACTGAGCAATGCGGCACGTTCAACGGACGCCGCAAAGTTCTGCTGTTGGAACTCATACTGGGTATTTCATCGTGGGCGCCAAGCCCACAAATTCATGCAACGAAAAGGCTCGGATCACATTCAAAAGTTGCATTGCTCCCTTTCAACATCTAGTTTTGAAATGTGACCCGCCCGAACCCGTTGTTTTCACGGAGCAATCAACAACCAGCGGATTTTGGGAAAAACAGCTGCCGTTATACGGATGGCGTGACCCGTTTCCACCCGAAAAAATCGTCGACGGTCTCGAGCTCAAGCATATGCCTCACAACACAAATTGATATGGTGACCCAGGTCCACGGTCAACAGCATGGTACGGTGGTACGCCAAATTTGTCGTCAGATCATCTGTTGAGGGAGCTCCAGGCAGCATGATTGTCTTTCACTGATCAAAATTGAGGGTGCCTCGGATACTCGCACATCCATCTCTTCCGTCACGTCGGCTGATCGCAATCCGATGTTTTCAGACATGCACACGTTTGTCGTCCGCGCGTCAGTTTCGCCCCGCAGTGTTTCGACGAGCGTCGTGACTGTTTTGCTAGTTCTCATTCTCAATCACCCCGAGGAGGATTGGGATTTACGGGGTATGTATGGTACTGACGCCAACAATGGTACTTTAACGGCCAGAGAAGACTTGTAGTAAAATTTTACCTGGAAACAACTTCGAGAAGAGGGCTGTTTTTTCGGAACCAGTGCTTATTCTGGGCTGAGAAAGAATGTGCCATCATGAGGTCATGAAGAGATTGTTCCTGAGCAGACATGTGCTCGATGCAACTCAATTAACATGAGAAATCGAATATGAGTATAGTAGGTATTTGTAAGCTCACATTGAAATTTTAATTGAGTTTGCTCTCCAGGCAGTGATTTGCATAGGTTGTTGATTCTGGCTAGTTGGGTTGTGATGCAACCCTGGCTCTGGATTAGGGGGTTGGAAGCAAATTAGGGTCTGAATCATTATGTAAGCCAATATTAACAGAACCTTAAGGCATATCTGCAATTGAGAAATATGTGGCAATACCACCATGATTGCAGGTACATGTGATATGCAAAAGCTGAGGTACTGCCAGCTCAGAACTGTTGTGGATTCTTTTAACCAGAGGGCACAAGAAAGCACTCTAGGATTTTGTTGATGTGTGTGTGTGATAATTTTGTATGGCAATAGTGTGGCAAAATTGCCAATACATGGGACAAGTAAATGCAAGTATAGGATAGGTAAAAGCAAAAGCTCTGACTAGGCAACTTTGTAAATTTATTTCTTATCTATCTTACATATTGATGTATCCATTTGCTAATTTTGTTACGCTATGTGAGATCTTGAACTTAGACTCTGAGGTTTGCATCAGTGTAAGAGGTGTTATTCATGCTATCTTGTGATGGTAGTGGTGGTAAATGGGGCTTTACAATCCATTAAGCTCCAATGTTACATGGTGTCTCCTGCCTTTCATCCTGGCAGGAAGGTTGGACACCATGGGAGATCAAACCCTGTGTCTGTGGCTTTCCTGATACTCAGCTTAACCACTACTCTATCTAGTCCCATTTATTTCATCATTTGTTTTGGTAAGACCTTCCATTTATGCTTCAAATCATGGGTGCATTTGCAGCATATTAAGAATATTCTCTTCTGTGTGACATCACTGGGACCTTTGCTGAATGTGTTAGCAGCATGACACACTTTGTTTACATCTTTATGGGTTTTGTGACAATAAGTGAACATGTGAGACAGAAACACGTTTGTAGGTACTACATGCACTCCTTACTGTGGAAACTGCAAATTATCCCATTTGTGATGTAAAAGATATATTTTTGGGAGATCAGACATCTCAAAAATATGCAAATTGACATCCCTGTCAATAGGTACTTGTTAAACAATGTCACCAAGCAAACATTGGTTATGCTATCCATACTCAAGGAAGGCTAAAGAATAGTCAGGATAACATCTCTGATCTCATAATGCAGTCCATGCCTTGCTCTTTGCCCTTTCACAACAGTTGCTTGCTTGGCAGGACAGCATGCTGAGGTTTTGGAGCTGACTGCAGTTGGTCATTGTGAAGTTCAATCCCTTTTGCCAATTTCTTATGGTGGCAACTGTTTTGCTCATGTTCACCATTGTTTGGATGATCTTGGCATTGGGTTGGTGGTCCTTTACTCTTGAGTCTTTAAACTTGTGGATTCTTGTAAGCTTCTGGTCATTCACTGAGACATGAAGTGTTGGTCTTAATCATTTGCTGATCTTGTCTGTGTGTGTATTCATGTATGTGTTGCATGTCATGCATACTCTTGGTTAGATTTGAGGAGTCATCCAGGGTTACATGCAGTTATCACTGAGCCTTGTTCTGTCATTGGAATCCCATCAATTCATTCATTGCTGGGCAATAAACCAAGTGTGGGCAACAATGCCATTGCTAAGGACAATGGCTGGAATAGTTGGTTCACATGTACTATTACGCTGTCCCAAACATGCGTGCTATTTCTTAGAATTTTGCAAAAAGCCACAAGCAATTTTTTAGGCTCTAACTAAGTCGTAGGCATCTTAGAAGGATGGTTGTCATGGTTAATTGCAGACAAGTGAAACTTCCAGTGCCGTGACAAGGGAAGGTGTTGACTTTTGTGTTTTCCAGGTCAACTATGGATCAATCAAGAGGAAACATTGGCAATGGTTATTATGGTGACACCGTGGGGGAACAGGTGGAGGCGAGGCCCCAGCCAAGAATGATTCATTTGAAGACTATATGTGGATGGCAAATGAAGAGGAGGCAGAAAGGGAGGTAAGAAAAACAGTACTTAAACTGTGATGGTGACTGAAATATCAGTGAGTACTGTGATCCCAGAAGGCAGGTAATACTTATTGATGTCATTTTTTTCCAATCAATGCTTTGCATTTACAGCATATAGCTGCAAAGTAGCATGTTGTTATTTTCTGGTGGAGGTGCTCATACAGATGCCTTATAATTCAGACTAGTTGGGTGGGAATCTGGTCAGCTCAGCATATAAATGTTCTGCAAATGGTTTTGAGCTGTTCAATATTACATCTACCTTCTTGGCAGATGCTAAAAACAAATGAGGATGAACAAGCAGCTCAGAAATGTTTCAACGAAATGCTGGACGAAGAGGAGCGTATTGTGCAACCAGAGGCAGCCAGCCCATGGCAAATCAGGGTACGCGGGAAGCATGGTGCCTTGTTGAGTACGTGAGCTTTGCTGATTTAACTGAGCTCTTGTAATTTTTGTCCTGGATCTTTTGTTCCTGTTAACCAATGAACTGAACCAACTGAACTAATTCATGAATTGAATTCACTGATTGTTTGTTTTGCTTGTTCTGCACGGCCCAGAATGTTCTGTTTCGGAGTGAAGCTCGCCACTGCTCAAGGGGCTGGGGTATTTATCGTCGGTTTTGTTTTGTTTAGAAGCAGACAGCATGCATCAACCCTCTTTAGGAGCCTTGCCCACTGTTGGTCATGTTGGCCCTACAGGCCATGGCGTGGGGGACTCGAGCCCAGACCTTGCGTGGTTGTCGGAGATCCCGACCACTCCGTCATTACGCCGCTACCCAGTCAGCCATGTTATGTCCTCTGTCCTGCAGGCAGTGGGCTGGTCGAGCGGGTGCGCGCAACAGGCGCAGCCGGGCCAGCCCTGGGGCACGCACCCTGCCCCAGTTCCGCCGGAGGAGGCGCTGGCCAACAACATCCGGACCATGTCCGTCAACGACAAGCCGAAGGTGGGGAATAGCTATCTTTGGTGACTTGGACCTCGCAGGGGCTCAGTGATTGCCAGGTCACAGTGTGTGGGACGATGTCTTCGTGTGGTTGAACCCAGCGGTGGCCGGGATGGTACTGGATCACCTACTTCGGTCAAGGACAAGTCATACCCCATGCCCACCCCCATGTGTCGCTTCTTTGCAGGTGAAGTCCATACCAGTCGGGGTAGTGCCCCTTCAGGGTGTGGGTTTTTTATCGCTGTGCACGCTCTAATCGCCCTGCTGTGTGTAGTCAGAACCCTTACCGGTTGATGGTAAAGTTGGCCGGCGGCGAGTCGTCACCTCCGCGTGTCCCCCGCCGCCGCAGGTGGAGCTGAACCCGCTGGCAGCTGAGTTCGTGCCAGGCCAGACGTTCCAGCCGGCGTCGGGCTGATGGCGGGCCACGCGGAGCGGGCGGCGACAGTGGTGGCGGGACCCTCCTGTGTGTAACTGAGGGGTGACGTGGGCGGCGCCGGCGCCCCAGTCGGCGCCGGCCGCCCGGACCTGTACCGGCGACGGCACGGTGCGGCGTCGACCAGCGCCGGCCGTCGGGTGCGGCCCAGTGGCGCCGGGTGTCCGGGGCGGTGTGGTGTGGGTGCTGGCGGGTGTAGCGGCTCAGGCCTCTGCTAGAAACCTTTGTCTCGTTTTCCGACCGCCGCTTTAGTCCCGGGCGAGAGTGACGTGGGCAGCTCTCGGGTGCGTCGTGTCGTCACGTTCCTCATCTGGGGTGGTCTCATCTCCACGGGTACAATAAAATGGCTTCCCGGTGTCCCTGGGCGAGGGAGGGTGGGTGACAATCAGGTTCGTGGTCTTGACAGACCTCGGCCTTGTCATTCCTGTTTCTGGCCGTGGTCTAAGCTGCGCTGCATTTGACAGAGAGCTGGTCACGTTTCTGTAAACGAATAATGATCTGTCTTTGTTGACATCGACCCAATCAAATATCGTCCGCCTTTCGTACCGCGTTTTGTAACCCGACTTTTTTCGCATTGGCTGTTCACCCTGTCGTTTTTGTTGAAGACTCATCTGCGAATAGATGAGAACATTACAAAGATATTCGCCTGTCAACAAACCACTGTGTGGAATGTATCACGCACTATCGGCTGCGATGTTTGAGCCCGCGTACGCTGTGCAGGGGATTCGCATAATATGAACGACAATAAAAGCCAACCTTTTGTTCAGGGATACCATAAAATACATAACTTATGCAGAACGAATTCTTCTATTCCAGTGCATGTGCTGTTTTCCATGAAAGCTGTTGAGGGAACCGTGAAGCAGCCCTCGTGTTTTTCCATGTCAAATATATGTTTCTGGAGAAACACAATTCGCCGAGCATCCGCTCTATCATACTGCCTAAGTGGCGGCAGCGAATATTGGTAACTACTTGGTATGCACAGTGTCATGGTGATTGCCGCGAAATGATGGACAATGGAAGTTAATTGACCAGCACAGCTGGTGGAGGTGGGCGTAGAGGCGTATAATGAAAGAACAGTTTTGATCCTCTTGTTAAGTATTGAGGATGAGAAGCCCCATTTGATTACAATAATTGTTATTGCTACTGCGGTATTAACTGCAATAACACTGAGTTGCACAGAACGCAGGCCATACGCGCCATGCGGGTCCGGAGACAGCGTTGGGTCAAAACAGATCGAACAGGGCAGGACCGGCCATCGAGGGGGACGGGCGAGACGGTACTGGGTGGGACACACCTGGCAAGAGATAACAGGACGGGACTGGGGATGACAGGACATGAAAAACGCAGATCCATGCAGGACAGCGTGGCGATATGGCACAGCGGGATACAACAGGATAGAGAGTGGCAGGTTCTTGCACGGTCTAAGACCGTACCGGACTGGCCGAAACGAAGCAACCGAACCGTATTGAGCCCGGTTGCACAGGGCAACAGATGATGACACATATGCCAGAGCAGGATATAACGTATTAAGGCGGGATGGAGCCGCGATGAGCCAGCGCGGGGTACCACAACCCGCGGCAGGGCTGGACAGGACGAAACATAGCTCAGTGTGGTTCAGCTCGGCCCAGTCCTGGAACAGACCACACCGGGCAGGACAGGATCGGGGTGATGACAAAGGACAGTATGGGGCTACACAGCACATGCACACTTTCTCAGCCCGGTACCCTCCAGTGCAGGACCGAATCGAAACAAATGGGACCGAACTGCACACGACAGTGCAGGACAGTGTAACTAGGACGCGACGGGGTAACATGCGCTCTGTCCTTTCCCATCTTATCCAGTCCTAAATTTGGTCACAACTTGCCAACAAGTCTGTCGGAAGCCTGTTTGTACCGCGCGAAATGACAAAACGAGAAATGCATCGAGTAAAAAAATTAAGTGAAAAATTGACGTATTCATGTGTAATTTGTATCAGAGATGGCTGGGAAAGTGACGCGCGTGGGTAACAAAAACCAGGGCGGGAGGGGCGCTGGGGTTCTCCACGTGCATCGGGTGTCGGAAGGTTGGTTTGGGGTAGGTTGCCGCGGGCGCAGGTGACTTGCGTTGTTAATCTTGTTTCTTGACTGCTATTGTTTGCCTTGTCAGGAAGCCCTATCAAATGTGCGAAAATGGTGGTCCCAAAGATGTGGTTGAGTCGTCATACATCGCTACATCGCTACAACGCTGAACGGCGCCGGTTGACTGCGGACTGCAGCAGCCAGGGTTTAACCAGTGCCAGTGACACTGTAATAATGCAGCCAAGCCATGAAAAAACACATTATGTTGAACATGTCCGCCTCATCAGCAGCATTGTGACGATTCTAGAGCATCCACACCTTAAATATGAGAGCCCAGCATGGCCACTGCCAATTTCAGGGCATAGGAAATACAAATTGGTAGTTGGAGTTAGTTTCTATTCACCAGGTGTAGAACATGGGTGTGATTTAGGCATCCTGCACAGTGGGTGAATGTTTTGCAGACTTGGGACTGCAGGGGCCAGTCTGCCAGAAATACATTTACTGTGCTGGATGACTCTGCCACATTGGTGTGCTGAACCCCCTTCCTGTGTGGCCTAATTTGCCCAGGCCCAGACTGCTTAAAATGCAGGTGGCACCTTACATAGAACATGTCCGGCTCATCACCTTGACCATACTCAAGCAGTGTGCACATGTTGTACATTTCAGTGCTTTGAGTTTTTATGGTGCTGAGAAAGCATTTTGCAAGTCACCCCAGAACATTTCAGGCTGAAGTAATTCAAAAATGCAGTGCAATATCTCCTGGCCTGAGGTTGGTGCATACAAACATGAGTCTCAGCCCATGTGGGTAGGCATGCAGTACAGTTGATATATTTTTGCAGGCTGAGCCTGTGCCAAATTAGGCAGAATTTTCCAGGGATTCCTTGTATTTTATTTTTTAAAGTCTTGTTGCATTATACCGCTTTTATCATGTTTCTCTGTATAATATTTTCATAATTCAGGACAAAGTATCATCATAATTCCTTGAAACATAAGCTCTGTGATTTGTATGCACTTGAGTTGATGTTGATTATGCACCAAACTTGTGAGAGCTCAGAGTTATAGGGTATGTGTGCTCTGAAATTGCTTCAGTGATTGGTGATGCGATTCCAAGTTACATGGTCATGTTCTGTGGCAACATAAATTCAGTCTAACTTGGTGCCTCTTGATGAGTCTTTTGGGCCTGATGTTGGCATGTTAGAGTCCTACATAGGTGGTAATCAAGGTTCTTCTGTGTGCTTGGGAGCCCCCTCCCCCTGTTGATTTTTTAAACATTGTGTCTAATCTGTGTCATCATTGTCACCATCATCATCATCTGAATGTCATCTCAGACTGCCCATCATCAGTGCTGCTCAAAGAGCTTGTTTCACTAAAGTTGTACAAAACATTGCCCATGCACAGTTCAATTATCCAAAATGATTGAATCCTCTGCAATGCCACTTGCATTGACTAATGCTGGTTACCTGGGGCTGTCCTTTCCAGAGCTTCAGCAGCTGCACAATGTTTGGAGAAATATCATCATTCTCCAGGGAATGTGAAAAACCCTTGGAAATACTCAGAGAGAAGAAACCCACATTTGTGTGTGCCCCAATGGTTCGGTATTCCAAGTAAGTTTGAGTTGTGTGTTGTGCAATGACTGCCACCATACATGCCATGACTTTGGTGCTCTGTATTTCCTTGGCTATGCATTGTAGCCATCCCATGTCACTATTTTTTTAAAAATAAAGTTGGCAGATCAGTTTGCTGGGAAAAGGATTAAGATCATAGTTCTTGCTGAGTGTAAATTGTTTCAAAACACCATTACTATATAGGAGGGCAGCTGAGCTTAACAAAGTTTTTCTCTTGTATTTCACATGCTCTCATTGATGCTGAAGAATCTTTATTATGCACCATGACACCACAACATGGTCCACCACTCCACCTGAATGCCCATGGCCAACTGCTAGTTCTGTCTGTGACAAGCAAAATATCTAGAGCTTTTGCTAGAAGTTGTGCCCTTTTTGTCTCATAGCATTGTGGTGTCAGGTCTTCCTGGCCAAATATTGTAAGGCGGGAAAGCCTAGCAAGGCTTTTGTGATATGAACATTGCCATCTGTTGACATGCAAACTTCTGGTTGTCAGATTATTGTGGTGACTGGATAACACAGGAAATGAAGTGGCCTATTACAATCTGATTTTTCCTGTGGCTGTCTGTCATTATCATGGATGCTGATAGAAAATGAAATACCTTGTGTGACTCAGCTTCATCAGAGTGAAATCAAGATCTAAGTCACTTCAGATGGAGTTGATTCTAACTCAATCCCACCAGCCCAGGAGTATCTTAAACTGCTAATGGTGTTTCTTTTCTCCCTTATTTTAAGCAAGTGCTTTTGCTGTTGCATTATCCTAAACAACATCACTAAGATCCAGTTTCTTTCAGTAGCAAGCGATCAAATACCAGAGAGTGCAGAGCTGTATGTAATAATACTTGTGCCATGTTTCCAGGCTGGCATTCAGAAACCTTGTGCGACCTGTATGGATGCGATATTGCGTTCACTCCAATGATAATGTCGGACTCCTTCGTTAGATCTGAAAAGGCAAGAGATAATGAATTCACCACAAACACAGGTAAGTCAGGTGATTTCACCACACATATTTAACACCACAACATCAAGCATGACGCTTGTATTGGAGAGCTAGCGAACGCATATGTGAGGGAAATAGACTGGCGATGATGGAGTGAAGACGGCCAAAGCATTTCGGTGACAGTTTGCCCTAGATCACCTTGATGTGGCTGGCCGTGGCGCGGGTTGGCGGTATGAGTTAACCGGCCGACGGGTTTGGACTTGGCCCGCATGTGCGCATCAGTTCTGCTGGTAGAGGCTGAAGTCGGTAACGGACCACCACAGATGACCAGTACGTGTAGTCTGGTGTTGGCACCACGGGGCTCCAGCGGAGGGAGCTGGGCATACCCCTCGACTGACAACTATGGGAAACCTATAATTACACAGACCTACAAGGTGTGGAAAGAAGCCGCAAAAAAACACTGTCGCCCCCTTCCCCCACACACACACCACACACACACACGCACACACGCACACGCACACGCACACGCACACCACACCACACACACCACACCACACACACACACACACCACACGCACACGCACACGCACACGCACACGCACACACACCACACACACACACACACAACACACACCACACACACACACACACACACACCCACACACACACACACACACACACACAACACACACACACACTCGAGGCAAAGGAACGGGGAGGGTCCGTGGGTGCTATGGAACTTCCACTGTCTGAAAACGCTTAACACTAACCCCATCGCGACGGATGGAAAAAATCGACAGCAAACTTGGTTTTGGCACTTCCACTTCCGGAGATGCCCCTTCACATTCGCCCCTGCATCCCTCTCGAAGTTTCATGTGGCGTAGCTCGTATTCAGCGGCAGCCCGCAGTCCGGTGTTTGCAGCAAATCCCCTGTGGGTGTGATATTCCAGATGTCATACGGCTGTAGTTACAACACGGCAACGGCAAATTATTCGAGCCAGCCTGCGTCACTGGCGTGCTACGCGAGCGTTTCCCGCGCCACCGGTCGTTTGCAGGCGTTGAGTACGGTACACGTCATGGTGAGGCCTAGGCGTCCTTTTTTTGGAAAGAGCAAGTTTCAGCTATTTAAAAGTTGCCCCACAAATGAAGGTGTGAAATTTTTAAGAGCCATCTGACAAACGTAGGTTTGGGCACCTCGGGCCCGATGCAGTGTTGGCGTTTGCACCAAGCGTTGCAGTCTCCTGCGACTCCGCGCCGTTGCAGTCGCCGCTCAGCACCATGCCAAACCAGCCGTGCGGAGCGGAGCGATGGCAACGAGGTTGTAGATGGTGCCGGGTCCAGGAAATCGCCAAGGAGGTGCTATCTATAGTCATGAGTGATCTGGCCCGGTAAAAGGCCATATGGGGCGGGGGAGGGGGGGGGGGGGGACGGAGACCACGGCCTAAGCTTGCTTGAAAATTAGAAAGCCTCACGCTTGTCGGATGACAGGGGTTTCTGTTTCGTTGATACCGGCACCGAGCAGGCGGCAGAAGTCTGACTGTAGGCGCAGAAGACACGCTTGTCGGATGACAGGGGCTTCTATTTCGTCGATACCGGCACCGAGCAGGCGGCAGAAGTATGACTGCAGGCGCAGAAGAGGCGCTTGTCGGATGACAGGGGTTTCTATTTCGTCGATACCGGCACCGAGCAGGCGGCAGTAGCCTGACGATAGGCGCGGAAGACACGCTTGTGTGGTGGCAGGACCTGTTTGATCTGTTCGATAGACGTGTGATAGGGTACAGAGCCGACTACGGGGAAGGCGAAACACATGTTCACAGATGATCTGACCAAGGGGCATTGGAGTGACTTGAGTCCGCTGCTACCATGTCTTAATGGAGGACAGGTGCCTGAGGATCAGGAAACGGAAGACGCCATGAGTGCCAATACTTGTATCATAAAGAATCATTGACGGACAATTAAAAATAACGCCTAGCTACGTAAAATGCTTATGCATGCTTTACGCATATTCTGATTTCACTATATATTTGGGCATACACGAGCACCCCACGTTGGGCTCGTCTGCCAAGATTGAGGTAATGATCCCTCACATTCAGCACCGTGAATGTTTTATATTAACATTTTTAAAGACACGTGTTCGTGCTTGAATCGAGCGCACTGTGGCCGAGATATCCTTTGAACTCTTCGCAGCAGACCAGGTGTCCTTTGCGTCATGTCCGTCTGAATTCTGCCATCTGGTCGTTGACAAGCTGTTTCATTTCGACATCCGTCATATCCCTTTTCCCATCAATCCTGTGCATTGCACCTTACCTTTCACATCTTTGTTTTCTCTTCTGCCGACCTCTCCATCTTCTCCTCACTTGGGGTTGTAGCCTTGTCAATTATGTGTGAATTATCAGCCTCAGAAACAGTTTCCAAATCCAACAAGAGGGCAGTGCTCATGGCATTTTAGCAGCATTTTAGCCACTGATGACCGATGATTGAAGGTCCATGCCTTTGGCGAAGTTCGCTGTGCCTGGTTGGCTAAATTTAGCTTCCAGGGATTCGTCTGAACTAAGCGCGACACCAGTGCCTGTTTCTAGATGCCCAGGTCGAGGACCATCTTCCACTTGAGTTCATTTGTTTCTATGCAGGATCTGAGCTGACGAATTGTTGATGCCAGCAATAACTCACCGCCATTTCCCTTTTTGTCCCTATAGAAGCGGTCGCGGGGCGAGGGGACTTAGCAATCTTTCGGACGCGTGCAACTCTCGTCTTGCACTGACAAAAACTACGTCAGTGATGCTGTCAAGCTCATATCTAGCCTGTAGTTTACGTTGTCTTTTCCTCTTTTGATTTTTTCTTTTCACCTTGCAGAGGACCATACTTTTAACACCGAAATTCCTCCGTCTTTTCTTATTGTCCTCTTTCTCTGTCTTTGCGATCTTTCTTTTCCCGTATGTTGGTTGTGGAGACGACCTCTTACATAC